CTGGAGCCTGCTTCGGATTCTGTGTCTCCTTCTCTCTCTGCCCCTCCCTGCTCGCACTCTCATTCTGCCTCTCAAAAAAATAAAATAAAACATTAACAAAATAGAAAGTAAATAAATAAACTATGTGTATTTAACCACGACTTAAAGGAGATACTTACCAGGAGCAGTATGAACAGTGTTTGCCTCTTCCGCTGTGACTTAGGAGGTGCCGCGAGCATCCTTTCTGGACCTCTGTCGGTTGTCGCTGTCTGTTCCGCGTCGCAATGAGCTTCCAGCGCGGCCTTCGCACTTGCACTTGGGGCGACGCGAAACGTGTCGAGGGCTCTGTCGGCGTGGGGGCGTGGCCGGCGTCACTTCCGGGGGACATCGTCCTTCTTATCAAGTCGGCCTCACCAGGCCCCTCTGGCCGCAGCTCTTTCTTCTGGCCCCGTCGCTGCTGCACCTGGATTTGCCTCCAGTGTCCCCACTTCCCGTCCTTGCCACTTTCTCACCTCTGTCGGTCAACTCCCGGCTTCGGTGACGCGCTTCCGCAGAGTAGCCAGTGTGTCCATCAGGGAAGGTGGCACGGCTCCCGACCTGGCTGGTGTCCGGGCGCTGAGTAACACGCGGTGACCGGTCACCCACGGGCTTGGGAAGAAGTGCCAGATGGTCACTGATCATGAGGCGCGGCTGTTGTTTACGTAGTGATTTGCAGGCTGGCGAGCTCAGGCAGTCTCTACCTGGTGCGGCGACTCAGTTAATACACAGGGTCACTGACACTTGAACTGTGTTGTTGAGGGACTGATGGTGTTTTCCTAGACCGTGGTAACTAAAGTTTCTGCATGTTGGAACCATGCGGAGCAGGGGCTGCCTACAATGACATTTCCAACCCCCCTTCCCACCTTGCCGTTCCTTGTCTCCATTCAAGGAGGAGCTGGCCCCGGACCTATAGTCCCAGGATGGAAGCAGAAGGTGCCTGTGGGTCTTTTGGACTTTGTTTCCCCCTCACCCCCCAGAGCCCAAGCCCTTCAGACAACAAAGGGGGGTGGAGGAGGAAGGCAGAACTGATGTGTCCCTTCTGGGCCAGTGTCCTGGAGAAGCCGGGTTGATGAAGCATCTTGGACCACAGGGAGACCACCCTGGTCTGGGGTGAGCAGAGGTAGGTGAGGGGGTCCCGGGCCTGCTGCCTCCAGTCGCCAGAGAGCAATGCAGGAGGGGTCCGGCACCCAGGTGACAGGATGCCAGGCAGGCTGGCCCAAGAGGGTCACATGCCCGGTGAGGCTGGGGACAGCGCCGAGGCGTGGCACTGGGGGGCTGCAATAACCGGTATGGGAAGATAACCAGTGGCAGCAGGCTCCCCCCACAGGGCCCTAACCCTGCAGGAGTCCTGACGTAGGAAGGGGGCAAGATCTGAAACTGATGGCCGTGATAGTGCCCATGGAATCGTGGAATGGGCGCTTGGGGCAGAAATCAGGCTGTCACGGCAAATGGAGGCAGTGGCACTGTCCACACACCTGAGTCCGTGGCTGGAGAGTCATGCCTGTGATGACTGGGGCTGTGCCACCACCATGACGAGCTGGCCTGTTCTAATGGCCACACTCACAGCACTGACGGGATAGGTTATTACTACTGGTCTGAAGATGTGAAGATAGCAGGCTGAGGCAGAGGTAACTTGCTTAAGATCTCATAGGTACCAAGATGTGAAGCAGGGGTTCAAACTCAGATACTGCTTGTGCCTAGAGACTTTTTTTTTTAAATTATTTATTTTGAGAGAGAGCCAGCATGGGGCCCGACTTGGGGCCCGAACTGTGAGATCATGACCTGAGCTGAAATCAAGAGTCAGATACTGAACCGACTGAGCCACCCAGGTGCTCCTGTGCCTAGAGATTTATAACCACCAGAAGTGCGTGGGCTGGGTCCTGTTCTGTCATTTCACCTGTCCCCAGTGTAGCACCAAGCACGGGGGAGCTGTTGACCAGTGCCTGCTCTGAGCTTCAATTTTCCATCTATAAATGGTGATCTTGGTGCAAACGGCGATCTCAGAGGGTGCTCAGGGATCTCGGAGCATCTGCCCAGAAACGGGACACAGTCAGCCTGCCTGCCAGAGGGAGCACAAACCAGGGGCGTCCTGACACCTAGCGGCTGCTCAGCATAATTGCAGGTCCCAGCCCCAGATGCTCCCAAAACTCGAGGGCTCCTGGTCCTGGTCCTCTCCATGTCCGGTTCAGCAGCTGCCTGCTGCCCTAGACAACTTTCCCTCCTTGCCAGGCAGGGCAGTGCTAAGCCAGAAACTGAAGAGGCTCAGGTGCCTATTTATTCAGTTTCATTTATTTCCATAAGATCTTTCATTCTAGGATTGCGGGATGGGCAGAGGCTGAATCTCCTTCCTTCCTGCTGAGAGAAGCCTATTGCTGGTCGAACACAACCACACACGTCCATCCAAAAACCTGCTCAGTTCAAGCATATAAGTGTTCACTTTGGGTTTTTTTAGTTTATTTTGAGAGAGTGTGCACATGAGCAGGGGAGGGGCAGAGAGAGAGACGGAGAATCTCAAGCAGGCTCCGTGCTGTCAGCACAGAGCCCGATGTGGGACTCGATCCCATCAGAGCAAGACCATGACCTGAGCTTAAATCAAGAGTCAGATGCTTAACTGACTGAGCCACGCAGGTGCCCCACTAGTGTTCACTTTTAAGAAAGAACCTCCTACTTTACTCCAAAGAATAAATGTAAACATTTTACAGAGACCACCCGAAATTTCCAGCAGAATGCGCTGGGTCTGGTGAGATGTAAAGCACAGGACACCTACTGTCCTGTTAGGTTAGGACTTTGCTTAACTTCGTGCAATGCTCACTTTCGCCATGGGTGGAGGGGAACACGTCAACATTTTTATGGACAAGACAAAACCCTTCTGCACCCTGAAAGTGACAGGACCTAAAATGGTTTATCAGAAAATGTTATTTTATCACAGTAGATGCTGGCATTTCCTGGCATTGCCAGTCAGGCTTTAAGTTTGACATCAATTGCTG